GCAGCATTCATTTATGCTTAGACCTATTTAGCTCTGTATATAGTTGTATAATAGTTGTAGATAGAATAAAGAAGATATTCTACAGAGCTGCTCTCCGAGTTGTTTATATACTCTGCTAGAGTCTGCTGTACTCTGCTGTGCGACGACTGTCTTCTTGGTGGAGTGAATCCGGTGCTCACAACTCTAAGCTGTGAGTCCACAGCACTTTGACCTGTTCCTGTGCAGAAGGTGGTCTCTGGAAGTGCTACCCAGCTCGCCTAGCCCAGTCGGGGCTGAAGTGGATGAGTCCAGTTGGTGGCACTGGCTCAAGGGCGATGCTGACAATTACTGTACTCAGATCCATCTGCAGGGAATAGGGAAAGTGTCTCATAGCGTTCCTCCATCACAGCATCACACAGCCCCTCTCTCTAATCTTGGAAATGTCGAGCTGACTATACTGTGTGCACAAATAAACAAGCTAAGGAAATGGGAATGCACACATCTCCCGAAAAATCAATGTGATCTTCAAAAGCAAGTAAAAACCTAATGACCCTGGTAATTAACATTCTGTAAGAAGGTTGGTGAATTTCTCATACAAGCCTAAACAATGTGTGACTCGCTAAGTCTGGGGTCACCAACTTTTTTAAGGACCATGGCACATTTGGATTTCTTTTTTAAAAAAATATATTTTTATTAAAGATTCATTAGTTTACAAAAATACGTGCATTGTCTCTTTTTTCAAGTTGTGTTTTCTACAGATGTTACATTTGTTGTGAGACATTAGTGTCATATACAGTGTTAGGTTAAGTAGAAGAGTGGGAGGAGGGAATGGTGAGTGGGGTGGGGTGACAATGCTTCTATTCTTCTAATTAGTGTATGTGTGGGGTTTTGTGACAGCGTCACTTGTGTGGGTTTTCTTACTATTCACTTGTATTTATTTGGTGGTGAGAGAGGTTGGGGGTGGCCTAGGGTGTGGTTGGTTGTCTTTGATTGGCTGTAGTGAAATTTGTTTTTGTGTGTGAGTGGGATATGTGTGTGTTTTTGGATCAGGTTAGCCAGATTGATTCATATGTTGTTGGCTATGGGTAGGCAACCTAAAGCCCGGGGGCCGGATCCGGCCCAATCACTTTCTAAATCCAGCCCGCGGATGGTCCGGGAATCAGCATGTTTTTACATGTGTAGAATGTGTCCTTTTATTTAAAATGCATCTCTGGGTTAGTTGTGGGGCATAGGAATTCGCTCATCCCCCCCCAATATAATCCGGCCCCCTATAAGGTCTGAGGGACAGTGGACCGGCCCCCTGCTGAAAAAGTTTGCTGACCCCTGTAATGTTGGTGGATTTGTCTTGTTTGGCTGTGTAGCACATTTGGACTTTTGAGGGTGTAACATCAGTGCCAGAACCTTGGTCACTTTTCTCCCACTTTGCCAGATCAACAAACACACACACAACAGAGATAAAAAGAGAGATATTGCATGCAGAAACATTCACACTTTGCAAGTGTATAATATGTATAATATGTTCATACTGTTCATATTGTGTGTACGCTGTGTTCTTGGTTTACACATTTCTGGATTTCCCATGGACTACTCCCTACCATGGATACTTCCTCCCAGGGGCTGGTTTTTGGTACTCACAGAACATGCAGGAAGCTACGATGCTATTAATAAGCTTTCTGCTTCCACAAAACCCTACGCCTGAAATCTCAACCTGAGTCAGCACATTTTCTTCCTTTATTTAGCAACCCATTTCACAACAGCAGTCAATGAGTTGCTGCGAATGCTTACGAGAAAACAGATTGTCAAACCATGCTGCAGAGGAAAGACTACACATGCAACTTGAATGTGAGATTCATCTGCTGATCTCTTCCTTCTCTCTCTTAGCTGAGCGAGGTTGTTTCTTTGGTTACATCTTCTTAGTATTTGAACATAAAGGTTGGCGTGTTATTCAAGCAGCTTGCTATAGTATTACAACTTCAGTATGCATTTCTTGGTTGTCCAAGCACACATAGAGAGAGATTCCTTCAGTTCTGGCAACAGAACTCCATCTGCTTCAAGCCACGCAAAAGCCACATACAAGCCTCATTTCTTCCACTAAACCCCTTTGTCAGATGCAATGTAAACAACAACTGGGTGCTTCCAGATTGTGTTCCTTGTGGGATAAGTGATCCTCATGCATGATTTTTCTTCTTCTTCTTTTCAGCGCCCACATGACACCATTGCTATCAAAATGCCAACCCATATTTCCCCTTATTTAATTGACATTTATCCTTTCAGATAGGATGGGGATCTGATAAACAAAACCACAACTGTTGCCAATGAACACCATTTATGCATTGAGCTTTGTGAATGTTATAATAATAATAATAATAATAATAATAATAATAATAAATTTTATTTATATCCCGCCCTCCCCAGCCAAAGTCGAGCTCAGAGCAGCTAACAACAGCAAAAATAGCACAATTTACATAAAACAACAGTCAATGAATTAAAATACATGTTGCTGCTTTGCTTTTTTTTAATAGATTCCAGAGTCAGCTCCAGCGCCCAGGGTACCGGCTAGGTTTCTGCATTGCTTTCATTGTTTTCTATGGCAGTGATACCTCCTGTTGTGCTGCTTTTCATTGGGTTTCATTCAAAATCCACTTTGTTAAATTCTGCAAAGCTCACTTGAAAAATGGGGAAGTGGCAGGAAGGGTTGTGGCGGGGGATAAGGAAAGGGGCTTCCACAAATTACTTTCTTATTACATTTCTCCATCACTGTCCACATAACAGCCAGGTTTGATCAGCCTTCTCCTCTGTGGAACCGATTGATTTGGTTTATTCTCCAAAGGCCCTCTTCTAATTGTCATTAGTTAGTTAAGCAATTAATTTAGAGCAGTATTGGTCGAAATGTTCAGAAACTAATCTGTTAGAGCCACAGAGAGGAAGAGAAATCAGGCAAGGTGGTACTTATTAGGGGAGCAACATCTGTTGCTGCCAGGACACCAAATTACAAAAGGCAACATGGACACAATTACCTGAACTCCATCAGAAATAATAGGCAGAGGTAGCAGACAGCAGAGGTTGAAAGCAATCTGGTTTGACTTGGGGAGCCCTGCCAAACGCCCCCATGGGAAAAGAGAAATCAGAGCAGGGAGCCTTTTTCCTCGTAGATCTTTGGCCTTCAGGAAGAGTTGAATGTGGGCTGCATTTGGGAAAAAAATAATGGAGGAAAAATATAAAAAATCTATAGGAAGCTAGTTCAGCTTTGGTAGCAGGAAAAGTTGGCCTATATGACCTATACATTTTTGGTATGAATTCTTATTTTGAATTTTAGTCTTCTTGTGCCATTTATAGGATGAGACAAGGAGGTAAAAAGGTTGCAGAATTCCCCACAGTCATACAGAAATCCCCCAAAGAATGTCCATAGCACAGGCAGATGATGCTAGCTGGTACCTCTTTCTCCCCTTCTGCTTTAGCACTAAAATGCTAAATCAGCTGTGTAAGCTGTTGTTGGTTCACAGTCTTCCATTAAGTGCTGTGGGGCTAGTTTGGCACACCCTGAAATCTGGAGGTAATGTCACAAATTCAGGAGTAAAGGATACGTTTTCAATTAAGGGACATGTGAGAAGCCCAGTCCCATGAGTCCATTCTTTCAAATCCTCACCGATTCTATCATCAGCTCAGTCATTTTACAAGAAATGGATCATTGTCTGAGAGTAACCTTTTGCTCTAGCCATTGAATACTAAAATCTTTCACACATTAGTCACATGAATGCAGTTCCAAGTATAGAAAGGGGCAGGCACAGTGCCGGATTTATGCATAAACTAAACAAGCTATAGTTTAGGGCCCCACTCTCCTGGGGGCCCCCCCAAAAAATTAAAGGGGGGGGACACTGGATGTACATTTCCAATTGTATTTCAGTTCAACAATTAACTTTGATAAAATACATATTTTGTTATGTGCAAATGGCTTTAGATACCTATTAGGTCCATAAATCATCATATATTCAACACAAAAAACAGTGACAATTTGTTGTTGACAAAGGACAGCTAGACATATGAAGGGCCCCATTACCTTCAGTAGCTTAGGGCCTCATCAAACCTAAATTCAGTCCTGGGCAAGCTGGCTGCCACACAAAATGCATGGACACGGCGGGGGTGGGGGTGAAGCAGGCACAACAGTGCAGCTCCCCCCTCAGCTCCCTCTTCTACATGTGGAGATCCCTTCACATAAATGGGGAGCCTCAAGTTGGGTGGGGGAGGTATGGCCCAGTTTTGCACCCTAAAAGTTTTTGCCTGCCCCAAACAAAGCCCATTTATTTATTTATTTATTTATTTATTTATGCTAATTTCAACTAATAGTATTTTAATATTAGTTCAAAGGGTAGGTGGGCTGATCCAGAGGGAGCATAAATACCAGCCTGTCTGCAAAGTCTCTGTTATGCTGCATTAATTATGTGAAACCTGCAAGTTAGGCCAATCCAACAATAATGCCTTTTGAAATACGATATATAAATTGTCCAGTAGCACCTTAAAGACCAACTAAGTTTGTTCTGGGTATAAGATTTCATGTGTATGCACACTGTGTATCTGTAGAAGTGTGCATGCACACGAAAGCTTATACCCAGAACAAACTTAGTTGGTTTCTAAAGTGCTACTGGACAATTTTTATATTTGTTTATTTATATATTTTATATATATTACATTACATTACATTACATTACATTACATTACATTACATTATATTATATTATATTATATTATATTAACTTTGACTGCATCAGACCAACGCGGCTACCTACTTGGATCTGGAATAATGCATTTGTTACCTGAAAGTTTTATAAAATGCTATTCACACTGAAAAATCAAATTCACATCATTGTCATTTTTAATGCACATCTTTTTTGCTTTCTGTATTAAGACATGCATTGACCAACCTCCTTAGAAGTTTTGGAGGAAGTGCTGAAGACGCCACATCAGAAAGTTGCTGGGTGTTTTTTTGTTTTGTTTTGTTTTTTTGCAAGTCTAGTACAAAATAACCTGAAGCCAACAGAAAAGGTTTGCTTAATAGCACACATTCCCAGCAGATAAAGCTCAGAAACCTCTCCTTCTTCAGTGCCTAAGGTTATCCTGGCAAGATTGTAGTGTGGCTGTCAAAATTTGATCATGGACAACCTTGCTGGAAGTGACAGAGATACTGGATCCTTTATATTTTCGGACAAGATGAAGTTTTCAGCATCTGGATTTACACCCTTTGAAATAGATGGTAAAGTATTTTCACTGTTTCATAATGATAGAGACTTTTAAAAGCACAATATCTCAAAGCATTTTACTAGTGGTTAAAGGTGCTTTTCTTTTTAAAGGTTTAATTGGGATTCAATTGCATTAAAACCATTGTCTTGTTTAAATTTGTGCCACTGACAAATTTAGCAGAATATGGCACTGAATGGTTTAACAGCACAACCCTAACCATGTATACTCAATAAGCCCTATTGAATTCAGTAGCCCTTACTTCCAGGTAAGTGAGGTTAGAGGATTCCTAGGGACCACTACTCACTTTATTAATGTCTATGTGCTTCACATTAGTTAAGAATAGCATACACGTATTTTAATCCGCCCTTCCCTACAGCATAACACACACAAATCACACTTATGCTATTTCTGAATATTTCACTAAAAATAGTGTCAAGTTAAATGTGATTACACAGCATGCCAACTGACACAAGCTGTGTATATATTTTATACTGGGGTATGCCTGCCTACAAGCAGATGTTTCACTGTGCTTTAAAGGAAGAATTAATTTGTCTTGCATTTCAGAATATACAATGAAGGCTATATGAAGATGGATGCTTCCATAAAACAAGCTTTTAGTTGCCTTTGTTGTATTTCTGTGACCAGCAAAGGGAAAGAGGCGAAGGACTTGAGTTCACACAATGGTTTTTTTGTTTGGGTGTAAACATTAGCTAAACATTCAGTGAAACATGCTTTTCACTCTGCACAGCCCTATTTGCCATTCTGAGAACCCAGCAAATGGAAAGTCTGTCTGGAAATACAACCAAGTTGAACAAAGTTATTAAAAAGTACTATATCACAGCCTGCTTCTGCATGAATTCACTGTCAGCTTCAGCCATGCAGCTTGATAGGATCCCTATTTATTCAGAAGCAAGTCATTGATTTTAACTCTCAGTACTTGTGCGTAGGGCTGCAGCCTTAAACAGTAACACAGCACATTGGTCACTCGTTTGCAAGCCAAAAGGATGGAATATCAATTCTTAGTGTGTTCTTTCCTCTCCAAAACTTTAGAAACCAAAGGCCAGAAAAAGACTTGCAAAAGGTACATTTCGGCTCTGGTTACAATATACCTGATTCTGCTCACTGCAGGCTTCGGACTGTTGGCCTATAAAGGTAATTGATTTTAAATGCTATTTCCTGTCCTGAATCTAAAGATAAAAGATTGTGCACTGGTTATATTTTAAATATCCAATAAGTAAATTTGTTTCCAGAAAGGAAACAACCACCAGGACAAGAGGTTAGATGGGGATGCAAGCTGCATCATTTGCTGAAGACCTAAAATGTGTGTTCTCATTTTTAAAAAGAGTTTTAGTCAAACCTTTAAAAACTCAGAAAGAATGGCAGTATAAAACACAAACACACACACAAAAGAGTTGTTACAAGGGTTGCACGCCACCCCCAATCTCTGCCGTGGCAGCAAGATTCCAGGGGGTTCCAGGCACTCACCCAGGGTCATGTTTCCACTGGGAATCAAAACACAGTGGAGACTGTCATGTCTTTAAGAGATACGGTTTATTAACACGTATTTACAACCAGGGTACAGGTGGAGGGAGTGCAGAGTTAACAGCATTCACATCCCAAGAAGGGCTTGTCCTTCACAGCAGCTGGGCATTGCATCCAGAGGCTTTCTAAGCACCACCTCTGTGCCTCTGCCCCAGCTTGTCTCCAGCCAGCCCCTATGGCGTCTGCCTTTCAGCTCCCTCCCCAACATAGAGTTGTCCCCACCTCCTGCTTCTCCTTCCCAGAAAACCCCTTGCCAAGCAACTCATCCCCCTTTCCCTGCTGTTCCAAGCCTAGTTTTAAAAGGTGATGATTTCCCTGTATCCTATGTGATCGGTTGGCAAAGACCCATCAACACCTTTTGTCATGCTTAATGGCTTCCATCCCAGATGAGGCCCTGGCCTGGAAAGGGAGCTTACCTTGTATTTTTCCACTGGCCTGCATCTTCCCTTCAATACTTCATAAACCAACTAATTCTTACCCCTTAATTAATTTCTAACATTCACTAACTCTAGCAGTTATGGGTTCCCTTCCACCCTCAAACTCTTGTTACCCCAGATCTGTAACAATATATTACAACTCTAAAAGTCCCAAGCATGTAACGTGTTTGTGAAAAACAAACACAAAGGCTGCTCAATTCACAGAGGCCAAATTCCGTACATGCGAGTAAATAACCCTCAGACTTTTTGCCTCCCAAACTATTTCCTCAGATGTTCTCCCATCCAGCCACATGTTAGACAAATTTGTCATCTTAAGGACCCTGGTGACAGCTTGGGTAGAAGTGCTTTCAAGTGCTTCTTATCCTACAGGTTGCTAGTGACTTCTTCGTTCTAATGCAGAGCTGTTCAGAATATACTGCTGGGGTAATTAGGAATTACAATATTGTACAAGCCTATTCATCCAAATGGCATTAGGCACTGGTCTTGAACTGGTGGCTTCTGTGACCAGATCCTATATCATAGCTGGATACAAAGTGTGTCATGGTAGTGATATCACCAATTTTTCTTTCTTTTTGGTTGACTTTTTTGAAATAGAAAGAGGGTGAGAGAGAAAAGAACACAGGGAAGAGGGAGAAAGGAGCAAGGAGTAAAAATGATGATGAACAGAACATGCCTGTATTGCCATATATGGTAAAATAGTCAAAGAGGACCTCATACTGTGGGTTGAGGTTAAAGTTGGGTCATGGGACTCAAAAGGTTGAAGGCTGCTTACCTCAGGGACATTGTAAATGTCCATAAAGCCACACAAACATGAGCCAGCCCCACCTGCATGTGCTTCATTTGATTCCTTACCACTTAATGCCTCACGGCTGAGGCCTGGAGTATCCGTCGCTTGCAACAGCAATGTGGCTGCTCCAATATTGCTGTGGGTAAATGTGTGGAACAAATCTATCATGTGCGTGTTGGGAATGACAGTGTGGTTTTCTACCATGCCAGCATCTGGTACTTGAGGGGGCCGAAAATGCTGGTGTGTGTGTGAGAGAGAGACAACCAAATTGCCAAATCTGACCACAAGATTGTTGACCTTCAAACGTTACCTTTGCCACTGCAGTGGGCCAGAGTGTGTGAGGTGATTCACGGTCCGAAAGCATTGCGCATGGGGTGCTATGGAAGTTCTGTCCATGGTTCTGGATAGAGCACAGATGGAATCCATCACTGGATGCTCTGTTCCTCAAGGGATGGGGTGTGCATGTGTTCACTTGGCCCCAGCTGTGGAACAAGTGGCTTTGGGCTGCCACTATCTGGTTATTTTATAGGTCTGAACAATCAGAGAATGCCTGCCCCCAACTACATTATAGCTTTTGCATGATCGCCCCTTCCTAAGTTAATGAAGTCATAGCCAGTCAATAGCAAATGGATTAAGGAGGGGGAAATGGCCTTGTTGTGGTGTGCTAGCCCTACTACTGTGTGGACACAAGAAGTGGGGGAATTTGTCGTTCACACTATAAGCAATAGGCAAACAGTTGCACAACCATATTTTACATGGCAGTGGTAACAATAATAGATGTGCTGCTGGAGAGTGGGGTGGAACCACATTTTCCCAGGTACAAAACAGTGTGACACCGAGGCTCACAAAATGTGATATCCTTGCAATCTCTAGAAAATACATCTAGGCACATAGGACCCTGACTTATAACGAGTCAGAACATTCGTGCTCAGTATTGTCTACCCTGATGCGCAACTGGTCTCCAGGGTTTAAGACAGGGAACATTCCCAACCCTACCAGGAGATGGTGGGGTTGAGCCTGGGACATTCTGCATACCGGACAGGGGTTCTGCCTCTGAGTTATGGCCCTTTCCCATTGCACATTTGCTGCACTAAAACCTGGCTCTTGAGAAGACCTTGTGACTCTTAGATTTGGATAAAGGGGGAAGTTCTTCACTTTAAAATGCAATCCTATACATGTCTGCTTAGCAGTATGTTCCTTGGCGATAGGGTTGCAGTCTTAGTATTGCATTACCATATTGGGAAAATAACAAAATGAGTGTAGAAGGTTAACATTTGATTGGCAGCTGTTAAGAAAGAGGCGATGCACATGATTCACTTCCTCCTGGAGCCGGATTGGGCGGCTCCTGCAGACTAATCAGGATGCTGCCTTCTAGGATCCTACTTGCCTATTGTTCTAGGATCCAAGCTCAGTACATAAGACACAACATTGTACTTTACCTATGTCATGATTTCTTCTCCTCCACTTTCAGTCTATGAGATGAACAAAGACTTGGAAAAGAACAAAGTCAACTTACCTTTAGCAGAAAAACTGGCAAGCTATTTTGTCAATGACAGCATGCTTGCCTATGATATTGAGCAAATGGAGGCAAGCTCACAAAGACAAGGAGACAATTGGATCAGAAATCTAAAGGAAGAAATTCACGTAATCAAACTGAGCAACCAACATTTAGAATGGAGAATGACCAATTTTACAGGTATTTTCTTGCTTCTCCTTGGCTGGACATCATTTTGGGGGGCAGTTAATGTGTGAATAGGCATTTCAGTAACCTTCCCATCCAATCTTACATGTTTCACATGAACTACACAAAAGACAGGGTGTGGTTTTTTTAACAAAAAAGCAAGGGAAGGGAAAGAGGGGAGGAATCAAGATGTGAGGAAACAGTATATACACACACAACGGGAAGGTAAAGCCAATAAAACTAATCACCAGTGGTTATTGAGTCCATTACAGGAGCTACTGCCCTGGCTGGCAATTAGGCCTTCCGTCTTATTGAATAAGTCATTAAAGCAATCTATAATCGGTGTTTGAGCCTCTCAGAGAAAGGAGCCAGTCTCTCTAAGACAATTTGTAGTGAAGAGAAATGCATTAACGGCTCATTCAATAAGGCTGAAGCTTGCTCCAAATGGTACCTTTGCACTGCACGGCTCTCTGGCTTCACAGTGAAGGTATGTATGCTGAAACAAAGAAAGAGCAGTGCTCTGGTGCAGCCCATCCCATTGCCAGGAGACCAGTCCTGTTTCTAAAGCTGAGCTTGTCAGCCTGGTACTGTTCAGGGTTAAGCAGTTTCATGAGAAAGTCCAGCTCACCTACTCTAAGCCTGTACAGCATCCTGAGGACAAGCATGGAGGATCAGAGTAAATTTGGGGGAGGGGAAAACGTTTTTTGGACTCCCCATTAAAACAATTGTCCTCTTTTGCTACAGTTTTCACTGAAACCAATGAGCTGGTGGAATTCTGCCTAGAGTTTGTTCTTTTTGAAGAAACAGTGGTCACCTCACGAGATTAAAGCTTTCATTTTAACTGTAGACGTCTTCCACCATTGGTAGGAGATTTCTAGTAGCTATCAATATCTGTTTCAGAACAACTGGAAAGCCGTGCACTTCAAGGGCCTCCAGGACCTCCAGGTGGGTGGAAACGCATCATTTTGAATCTCTGCATCTACAGATCTTGCCCAAGTCCTATGAAGCAGCTGCAGAGGACCCAACAGCCCTATTTGATTGCTGTCATTTATTTTATTTTCATATTTTATTATTTACTCTCAGACAAATATATGACAAATAGCATAAACAGAACGTACAATTACAATCATAAAATTTACAAACCACAAAAGCAACTGATATGAGAGTACAGTGGTACCTCGGGTTACATACACTTCAGGTTACAGACTCCGCTAACCCAGAAATATTACCTCGGGTTAAGAACTTTGCTTCAGGATGAGAACAGAAATCGTGCTCCGGCAGCACGGCAGCAGCTGGAGGCCCCATTAGCTAAAGTGGTGCTTCAGGTTAAGAACAGTTTCAGATTAAGAACGGACCTCTAGAACGAATTAAGTACTTATCCCGAGGTACCACTGTAACTAAATTCGGCATTCACCAACACAGAAACAAGGGCCCGATAGGATTGCAAGTTTATATGCACAACACAGTTTCACATGACATCCAAACCAGGAAACTGTGGTTTAAGGACAACTTCCAAACCAGATTATGAAATCCAAACCAGGCTAGGAATGAGCACATGGCTCATTTTTTGTACTGTACAATCTTGTGTTAAGATTGTGGTGCCTGAATGGGACCACTGAAAGATGCAGAAATATATTGATGTCACAGCTTAATGAGTGAAAATTTACATCTTCAATAAAATGAAATAACAGGCAGGCAGGCAGGAAGGCAGGCAAACAGGGTTCAATGTGAACCCCATAAAATTATGTGGCTAATATGTGACTTTAAGTGAGGAAAGGTAAGGTAGGAGCTTCAGCCATTTGCAATTAGTACAGTGTATTCGAGTTGCAACACACACATGTTCTGGACATCTTTCAGGAAGTAAAGGTGAGAAAGGAGGCATCAGCTTAAGAGGAAGCCAAAGAGAGCCAGGACCAAAGGACAAGCAAAGAACATGAAATCTCAAATCTTCAAGGAGTGGAGGGGGATGGGGATCAATATTTAACATTTTTGACATGCTGTTGTTGTTTTCAGGCGCAGGATTGCCTGGACCAAAAGGAGAAACTGGTAATGTTGCTTGCCCACTTCTGTCACTATAATACCTGTAAACATTTGGGCAATTCCCTTGAACCCACAATTGAATGGAGGCACTTCAGATAGTTTTTACACTGAGTCTATGGCAGGAATTGTCAAAAGGGATGAGCAGCTCTTCTGTGCCCCTATAATGGAGATGTAGCGCCTTTGCAAGCCTGTAAGGAGGACATACGTTTTAAAATGAATCAACCGTACTTCCTAAATGCTCCAGCAGAATCCAAGGAGAGTAGAGGGGGCCGTTCCTTTGAGTTTAGGAGGGAAAGCGATGGGAAGTGCATGGCCACACCTCATTTTGGATAGAGATGTTAAACTCAAGATAGGAGCCCTTCTTTTAAAGAAGGGGAGGAGAAAATTGGACTGAATTGGAGAAAAGAGTCAGGGAATATTGATACTTTGCTAACTCCTCCACTGTTCTACTGCAATCCTCACTTCTCCCATCCATGTTTCTCTCTTCAGAGTTCTAGGTGTGTGTTTATATAGTGACATGCCTTTAGTGATATTTGGAAAGGGTCTTCCTATCCCATATTCTATATAAGTGTTTTTGGTAAGTAAATGCTACTGTAGTCAATGGGACTCGCTTCAAGGTAGTTGCAAAGAGGACTGCAACCTCAATGTATTTATATTTTAGGATCTCCAGGAATGAGAGGACCTCCAGGTACCCAGGGAGAGAAGGGTGATACAGGTAATGAAAGAAGAGCTGTAGAAACAAATGTTGAAAAGCAGGTGAAATTCCACCTCATTTGCTTTTCAAGCTTACTATTATTTATAATAATTTTTATTAAGTTTTCAATTTTACATTTCAAAATAAACATTTTACAAACTTTAAAATATCCAATGACTTCCATTCTTCTTTTTTCATGGTTCATTTTACATATCATACATTCCTGCATATTTTACTATAATCATTCAAATCAGTTTTCCACTTTTACATCCATCAAAAATTATTTTCTCTGCTGAACTGATCTTAGTGCTGCTAGCATTTTCATCTGTATACAGTTATTTTCCATATATTCAACTCATAGTTTTTTTTCATTTGCAATACCATATAATTTAACCTCCACCTAAACAAAGAACATTTCTCACCTGTTAATACTGTTATCAAGATGGCATTGTGATCGGATAATGTCTTGGGTTGAATGTCTACCCTTTTTACCATACTTGTTAATTTTTACGAAGCTAATAAAAGAATGTACAATTACAATCATAAAATTTTAAAACCACAAAAGCAACTGATATGAGAGTAACTAAATTCGGCATTTACCAACACAGAAACAAGTGCTTTAAGAATTGTTTGCATTTGAAAAAATTACATTGGCAATCTAATGGATGCTTAAGTCGCCACAGGTCAGTTAAGTCAAAACTGGACACCATATCAAAAAGGCATTTGATAATTTCCCTTCTTCTCCACTTTATTATTATTTCTCTGTATTTTTATTTCAGGAACCATGGGGCCAAAGGGCTCAAAAGGAGAGCGAGGACTGCAAGGTAAGGCTCCTTCCACTGGCTTGCAATGGATGAAGGCATATTAGGTGTAAAGCCCGCAGCATTCTGATGCACACTGAGAAATCTTCTTTACATTACACCACTGGCACTACCAGAGTAACTGAACCAGCATTATGGCCATAATCTAGATCAGGGTAGCCAATGTGGTGCCCTCCAGCTTTTGCCAGACTACAACTTTCATCAGTCCTAGCCAGTATCGCCAATGATCTGGGATGATGGAAGTTGTAGGTCAACAGCATCTATCCCTGATATTGATTTACACCAGCCTTCCCAAACTTGGTGACCTCCAGATGTTTTTCACTATCATTCCCTGCATTCCTGACCATTTGGCTATGCTGACTAGGCTGGTGGGATTTGTAGTCCAAAACATCTGGAGGGCACCAGACTGGAGGGAGGCTGATTTACAGCAATCTATCCAGTTGTAAAATGCAGGGGCGGAGAAAGGGGGGCAGTGGGGGCGGGCCACCCTGAGTGTCACCGCTGAGGGTGGTGACAAAATGCCAGGCGGCACTCACCACGGGGCCTGCAGCGTGCCCAAGCCATGCGTCTCTCCTGGAAGTGACACGGTGGCTTGCGTGACTGCAAGCTCCCCACTGCCTAAACGGTCCACCTACCATCTCCTCCTCAGCTGTAGGGCGGCTGAAGGGGAGGAGGCAGGCAGATTCCTCAGAGGCCCCACGGAGCATCCTGCCCCGGCTTGCCCCGCCCCCACGGACAGTTGGCCCCACCCTGCACACTGCCCCAGGAGCCCGATCAGCTTGCTCCACCGCTGGTAGAATGTGCCATTCTTATTGTTTTTTCTTAAAATAGACCCCTCCCCTCCAATTTTGTATATGCACATAAGAACTTTGCTGGATCAGCCCAGAGGTCCACCTAGTCCAGCATTCTGTTTTCAGCTGTAACAAGCCAGATGTCCCTATGAAATTCACAGATTTGGCATGGAAATGATAGATATCCCCTGTGCTTTGTCCACACCTTTGGTAATCAGAGGTAGCTACGACTGTCTCTGAACATATAAGTCCCCTCTAGCTTCCAGAGCTAACAGCCATTCCTAGATCTACCTTCCATGTGCACGTTCATCCAAATGCATGTCAAGTTGAGAGTGTCAGTTTTTCAAGAATTAAGAAACCAGAAAGGCATTTTTACAACCACCCAGCTGGCAGTCCTGCTTTGAGCGAGGATTCAGAGAACTCAACCAAGGTGATAGGACAAAACTCACAGCTGCTTAAACTAGGAAAAAGCAATGACTGGAAACTAACAGTACAAATTTCAGATGACTTAGAAGACTCAATGGCTGTGTGAGGACCCAATAAAAGGTTTGGCTTCTGACAATCAGTATGTCATAAGATGCCATCACAAGTAAGCCAGTTTCCTCAAATTGCAGCTTTCATGCATCCTGGGAAGAATTAACATGTACATTTCTGATGGCAAGGCATCCTGTGACCATTGTAAACATTCTGCAATGTGCACAGGCAGAATTGTTTTAAGACCTGAAACCACTTACATCAAATTACAGTGGAACCTTGGTTCTCAAACTTAATTCATTCCAGGAGTCCGTTCGACTCCCGAAACCATTTGAAAACCAAGGAGCAGCTTCCGATTGGCTGCAGGAGCTTCCTGCACTTAAGCGGAAGCCACATCGGACATTTGGCTTCCCAAAAAAGTTTGCAAACCGGAATAGCTACTTCATGGTTTGCAGTATTCGGGAGCTGATTTGTTCATCAACTAAGCCATTCGAGAACCAAAGTACCACCATACTTCTGAAAGAAGGCAGTGGAATCACTAGTATAGCAACTGTGTTGCTTTAAAACAAACAAATAAATAAATCACAATTTTGTTCGTGTGTGTTTTAAAAAAATACAGGTTTAAATGGACTTGATGGTGAAAAGGGATCTGAAGGAAATCTTGGGCCGGCTGGTCCAAAAGGTGAACCAGGAACAAAAGGGGAAATGGGAGACAGGGGACCTCAAGGTAAGACTTTGCCAAGAGTGTTCATAATCTTTATGATATTTAATATTTGGAGAAATTTGCACTAAAATGCTGGTGATTTTCATGAGGACTTAAAAATAAGAATAATTGCAAACTGATATGGAAATGTGGAGACTTGAACTTCAGACTGGAGAAACTGAGGAAACAAATGGACAGATTCACCCATTTCTAGATAGGACTGTTCTCCTGCTTGCTTGAGTTGATCCAACTTGTATCAGTTGGTCACCACATGCAATGGTGTGGAATAGTATGAAGATTATCACTGTTGCCCATATTATTAATCATTATACTGACTTCCCTAAGATACTGGGAGGCAGGAACAGAATTGTGTTTTTCTGAACTACTGCCTGTAGACTGTCCTGTATATCTCAGAAACTAAACAGGCAGTGGAGTTACCTTTTCCCCTTTGAAATGATAGCTAGCAATGTGGACCAGCTGCTGACCAGGTAAGTGACTTAGAGGAAGGTCAGCACCCTCATGCATGTTGGGAGCAGGGCACTTCACTAACCACCTATTGTTGACCAGCTTGTGTAGGCTGCTTGGTTTGGTGCTCTTGTGGCCTGGTATGTGGTACCTGCTGAACAATGAACAGTAGGGGGTGGTTAGCATGGTAGGTCAGACATACACCCACAGTTTCCCATCATGCCGGTTTGGATGATGGAGTTGATCTGGGGAGGCAACCAGCCATTGGGCCAGACTTGTTGTTTTTATAGACATAACAAGGTATTGAGTTGCTTGTGGTAGCCAAGGCTATATACTTCTAGATTCATTTTCCAGAACTGATAATGATGTTCTTGCAAACAGCATTAACTTGGCCTCAAACAGCCCTGTGCCAACAAGTCAACTCTATGCATGTCTTTGAAGGAGGCCAACAATATGTATAATGTCCTATTTTCTTTATACACTGCATCACAGAATCAGGCAGTCACTGGAAAAGGGAGAAAGCAAATTTAACTCTGTACAGTCTAATATTTCATTTTGGGCATATGTGTATGCAATACAGGCAATGAGTATTTAATTATCTTTCTGTCTCTGATTAATGCAAAGGTGTTTATAGTAGGATTTATCTGGTACAAACTAATACGGTGTAATTTATATGCATAAGCATGTGTGTGTTTGGCTAGTTGGAGATATTGTGAAGTCGATTTCTGAGTTGTTTGTATCATGTATAAGCCAGAGTTTTGTCTTAGTTAAACAGAAGAATTATGCAACGTGTAACTTCCATTAAATTGGCATTTGCAAGCCTTAACAGGGGCATGAATGCTAAAAAGAGAAGGCAAAACCCTCCCCCAAAAAACCAGAGCATCACCAATGCAGAAAAGAGCCAAGATAATGCATAGAAGATCGAGAAATGGATCAAATTTTCAGTATACTTTTCTTGACAGTAACATTTCTTAAAAGTGCACGCCAGCTAAAAGCTAGGTATGAAACCATTAGCCTCTCTAGTGAATTGGCATTTATGATTGTTAATTAATGTTTCCATTTTATGTAATGTACTTTACAGGAATACAAAGGAATTTAGTATTATTGTTGATTTATTATTCAAGGCAGTCCCCCTCCCTCTGCATCCCTGGCACTAGAAGACCCTCTTTATCTTCAGCAGTTGTGTAGAATGGAAAATCCAGCAGGCATAGCTTTTCTTGTCCTGTTTAAGAAGTTATAGCAGACCAAGTTCCTTCTTCCATTGGAGCCCTGGCTTCCTTGCTTCCTGAAACCCAAGAGAGAGAAGAAAGGCAGAGTACATACCCTCCAACATTTCTCCAATGAAAATAGGGGCATCCCATTCCATAATGTTAATTTTACTGTTTATACCCCACACATTTTATTAGGTTGCCCCCGCGCTCTGGGCAGCTTCCAACATATAAAAAAAATAACAAAACATTAAACATTAAAAAAAACCTTCCCTATACAGGATTGCTTTCAGACAGCTCAGGAGGCAGATAACTCCATACCCTCCAACATTCCTCCAATGAAAATAGGGACATCCAAAGGAAAAGTGGGACATTCTGGGATAAAATCAGAAACCAGGATGGCTTCTCTAACTCAGGGACGTCGCTAGAAAATAGGGACACTTGGAAGGTCTGAGAAATAGCAATACACACACACACATAACACACAGTTAAAGGAGGGCTTTATGCTCCATCTTATGAATAAGGGTGAGGAACCTGTCTTAAAAAGTGGAAGTTCATTGTTCTGAAAGTGTGTCCATAAGAGAAGGCAACTATCACACACGGGAAATGAGGACCAGAGGAGAGAGACACTTGCAAGCCAGGAAAAATTACTGTGCTGTCAGTTTGTTCAGCAACGTTACATGAATGTTTAAAGTAGCTGAAACAGTTAAATAGTGAACAGGAGTAGAGACGATACTGGCAGACAGACTCAAGACTCAGCATTGTCTCTCCAAAGCCTAAGCTCAGCCTGAAAACCTTTATCGCCATACTTGTAAAGGGGAAGCCCATGGGTTGCTTGACTGGGACCTGGAAAGGACACTGCCTGCCTTGTACTCTCAGGCTGAATATCAGTTAGGTTGGGCAGCCTAGTGAAGCTCTATACAGTTTAGCCCTCAGGGTTTGTGTCAGTCACCAAGCAACAAAATATTGACCCCGTCTCTTCCAGGAGCTTTAAAACAAAAGCCGCATAAAATCAACATGCATTGAAAGCTTGTTCAATGTTTGGAGTGGTTAGGGGAGAGGTTATTAAGAGTTTTATTGTTTCCTTTGGCAACACTTACACATTGTTCTAACTTGGGAGTTTATGGTGAAGGGCAGATAAGGAATCTAATAAATAATATATTGTATGTGCTAACGCCTGAAACAAGCTTGGTCTGTAGGTCTTCCAGGACTCCAAGGACCAGCTGGTGGAAAGGGGGATCTGGGCCCAAGAGGACCAGTTGGTCTCACAGGAGCGAAGGGTGTGCAGGGAGAACGAGGCCTGCCAGGTGAGTGGACACAGCAAAGCGCCAAACCTAAACGACATCTGCCATGTTTTTAGGCTTGAGACTAGCCTTACTGACTTAGCCCAACACTCCCTGAATCTTCATCTTGTCAGTGCTTGGTTCAGATACTGTAAGGGAAGAATATAACCAGAGAAAACCATGCCTGGATCTTGTCACTCTTAAGGGTAAAGACAGACAGGCATTCTAAGGCCTGGTTTGCACAATAGGGGAAGCTAAACCATGGTTTATCAAGACCACACAAACTGAATAGTTCTTCCTTCTGTATATTTCTGTTAATCTTCTTGGAATCCAGTGATACTCTTTGCCACAGTTATATGCAGGCATGCACAAATCAGCTGCTGCTTTTCTCATTTCATCTTATATTGAAAGTTCAGGGGTCTGTTCATCATCATCATCATTTTTTATATGCCGCCTTTCTATAGTTAAAACTATGTTCAAGGAGGCTTACAGCAGAAAAAGATTTACATGATTACAAACATAGCAAAAGAAGTAATAAACAATAAATAAAACACAATGAAAAGTACACAACCAAATCGAACAATTTCCACATAAATTATAAGATCAAAATTTAATATCAATAGCAGCAGCAACAACATTATCCCTGCTAGCAACACCCCCTATGCCCCAGGCCAAGACTCTATTCTCATGCCTCCTTATATTCTGTTAGCCATTTGTAACTTAACTGCAAAATAAAGATAGAAGCATCCCATATACTAGCAATTTATGTTCTTTTGTGTTCATTTATGTTCTCTTATGTTCATTTGTGTTCTATTTCAGGTATACGTGGTCCCCAAGGACCTCCTGGACAACCAGGTATATTGCAATTAACCTCCTGGACAACCAGGTTAAATGCAATTTAACACAAATACTTCCTACCATTTGTGCTTCATTTAAGGTTCTATTTAGACTGCAATGTTGTACACACTTACATGACTGTAAGTCAACTGAATCCAGCAGAGCTTATTTCTCAGCAGATATAATCCTATACATGTTTACCCAGAAGTGTAACTCTGTTCAGTGGGGCTTACTCTGAAGTAAATGTGATATGGATTGTACACTAATAATACTTACCCTGTGGTACCTGCCTCTGAGTAAACATGCCTAGGATTTTACTAGTAAACTGCTTCTGATTTCACCAACCTGGAACTAACTCCAAAGAATTATTTAAAAAGACAAATATTCTTTGAAACAGTTCCATTCTGGGGTCCTAAGGCAAACTACGACTGACTTATCTAGTGAAATACTGCTGGGAAGTTGCTGTTTTGGTTTCTTCAGTGGATTTTTGGGCAAGAGGTTCAGGACTAACTTGTGCATCACTTGCTACAACAGCAAAAAAGTAAATGCTGATCAGCTGCCATTGGTTGATCAACAGATGCCTCTACGATCCTTAAAAGGCTTTTGTTTTCCTCAGGTTTGTCAATAAGTTTGGTGGTGACTTAATAATTGAAATGAATTCTGACTCTCTGGCCTTGTCCATTCTAACTATCATGCTACTTTATAGATTTGCAGCCAAAGTCTGTGGTTATACACACAAACGCAAAATGATAAATCAACAGGAAGCTGGTGTGAAATGACTGAAGAAGACAATTTCCCTTTGTTGGAAGGCAATATTTAAGAGAGAGGCATCTGTGGAATGCAAGTGCTGTGTTGTTGTCAAGGGATGTCTTGTCCTGAGCCTTTGAAAGGATGAGGAACAAAGGAAGCTTCCTTATTCTGAGTCAGACCAATTGGACTATTTAGCTCAGTGTTGTCAACACTGATTGGTAGCAGGTCTCTTGGGTTTCAGGCAAGGGGCAATCCCAGTTGCCAGGGATCGAAGCTGGGACTTTATTTCTGCATGCAAGGCAGGAGCTGTGCCAGCACTAGGCTGCAGTCCTTCTAAACCTTCCCTCGTTCACCAAATATGACAGATACTTCAGTGCTTGATTGCTCTCTCAGTGTCATTCGGGCTTTGACCAAGCTTCTTTGGTTCACTTACAAGGTCCTGCAGGCAGCATGGCGCCACCAGGAAGTCCTGGCCCAAAGGGAGTGCAAGGGGAGAAAGGACAGAAAGGAGAAGCAAGCACCCTTCCAGGTATACAAATGGGAATGTTGCTCAATCTGTTGAAATACTGATTCCCAAGAAGTTTCTGACCTAACCTTCCCCTTTATTCTTTCAGGAGTACCAGGAGTGAAAGGCGATCGGGGGGAAAGGGGTTACAAAGGTGATCCAGGTAAAAATATAAATGGAAGTGGAAGAACCCAGGGTGTGAGCAAAACACATCTCATTCAGAGAGATGTGAGATGCCATAAGGCCAGGACAAATCCTTTGCTGTGGTATCTAAGTGTTTTACAGAGATGTATCACCAATGGAAAAGAGTTTTTATTCAAAGTCGGTCTTTTAGTTCTCCAACATTCCCCAGGCTGAATCTAGCTTCAGAGCTATCTGACCTCTGACAGCCTGGTCAAAAGCTGATCAAGGTATAGTTGGCATTTCCAGAAAAATTACCCAGAGATCTGCTGGTAGGTTCTGCTCCACTTTCTCCTCACCCCAGTTCTAGCTAATTCAGGACTCTAAACTGCTTTACAGAAATCAATGGGACATAGTCTCTCCTGTGAAAATTCCCTGAGGAAAATAGCCATGGAGTGGGGCAATACACATTCCTAGCATGGATCTCCTGTCCTTTTTTTTTTTGGAGAAATAAATCAGACCACTGGTCCATCTAACCCAGTATCCAGTGTGGACTACAGCTCCAGTAATCTCTGACCATGATCCATGTTGGCTGGGGCTGTTGTGAGTTTGAATCGAGCAGTGTTTGGAGTGCACTATGTTGGCTACATTGGCCTATGATGACTGGCCTATGATGACTGGCAGCTGCTCTCTAGATTTAGATGGGATTTCTCCTACTTCTACCTGCAGCAGCAGTGCATGAGGAGGGCCACTCCTCTACGGCCCCAGCACCCTGCTGCCACTCACTGGGACAGGAAGAGGGCGGGGTAAGGCAAGGCAGCAGTGTGATGGGTGGTGTTGGTATGCCACAGGTGTGCACTGCTAACCCAACTTGGCCCTGCGACCGTGGGTGCCTGGGGCTGTGGGTGCCATGCGGCGTGCCTGGCCCTGGTACCAAAATTTGTGGGTGCTCAGTCCTTTCAAGGGGAAATTTTGTGGCTGCTCAAGCACCCAGGACCCCAGGGAGTTGGCACCTACGTAACCCAGCGTTCCCCTGACCTCTCTGCTGTCTCTCACCCTGCCCCATTCTGGTTAGCAGCTCCCAATCCACCTCCCAACTCCCCATGCATCACAGCTGTCTATATGGAGGTGGCAGGCCTCTTTTGCATCCGCATAGTTAAAACTTTATCTAAATACATACATGTAGTAGAATTTTGAATATTAAGCAAAAGTTTGAAATTCCCATTGTCTTTGGATTTGCCACTTTATATTCTTTCCCCCTCCCTCCGCCCCCATTATTTTAGGCATACCGGGAAGTAAAGGGTCGAAGGGAGATCAGGGAATGACAGGTAAGGCATTTGCTGGAGTTCTTAAATGAAAGTGACGACTCCGTAGAATCAAAGCTGTGTACTCCATACCTTCGGCCCAGTGTACTTGAAGGAGCATCTCCACCCCCATCGTTCAGCCCAGACACTGAGGTCCAGCGCTGAGGGCCTTCTGGCGGTTCCCTCACTGCAAGAAGTGAGGTTGCAGGGAACCAAGCAGAGGGCCTTCTCGGTGGTGGAGCCCGCCCTGTGGAATGCCCTCGCACCAGATGTCAAGGAAATAAACAACTATCCAACTTTTAGAAGACATCTGAAGGTTGCCCTGTTTAGGGAAGTTTTTAATGTTTGAAGGTTTATTCTGTTTTTAATGTTCTGTTGGAAGCCACCCAGAGTGGCTGGGGAAACCCAGTCAGATGGGCAGGGTAGAAATAATAAATTCTTCTTCTTCTTCTTCTTCTTCTTCTTCTTCTTCTTCTTCTTCTTCATTATTATTATTATTATTATTATTATTATTATTATGCTCCCCAGAGTGACTTACAGTTAAAACATAATGCAAAAATACAATGCAATGCAGTATTAAAATGCAGCAAAGCTGTAATAGTGACATGGGCATATAAACTCTCAAGAGGACAAAGCAAAAACCAGTACTCCAACTACTTAAAAAGTTGCTTTAAAAGCTTGGGGAAAGAAAAATAGCTTGAGCTTCCTTAGAGAGAGCAATCATGAGATCGGGGAAGCACTACTGAAAAGGATCTGTCCCAGTTGCTACCTGGTGAACATCAACTCTGATAATGCCTCTTTTTTGACTGAATGGAGGATAGAGAGGAATATGTGACTGTGTGCAGAAATTAGCCCACAGTACAAAGGTGAAATTCACATTCATTGCTCCGCTGAGTTTTATCTGAGGGCCACATTCCTTTCCCTGCAACTTTCCAGGGGCCACATGCCAGGAATTTGATGGATTGCTGTGTTACGTTCTAAAATTATTCGACCTTTGACTTCTATTGTAATGATGTAGTGATTTGCAGTTTTGCTGTTCTGTTGTGAGCCACTCTGAGCATGTTTTAATGGGGAAAGCGGCATACAGATTTAAATAATAAATAAATAAAGCCCATTGTGTTCCCCACGGCTTACTCTGTGTTTAGGACCACAACCCTTAACTTTCATTTCTGTGGAAAAGGCAGAGGAATGGCAGGATCCATTTGGTTATTGCACAATAATGGTTTCATGGCTTCTGCAGGTAATGCCTCTTGTGCCATTTGCTGTTGTCTTGTCCCTGTGAAATTGAGACACCCACCTTTCTTACTTAGGGAGCAAAGGCATGCCTGGTGAAAAAGGAAGTAAAGGAAGTGCCGGATCTAATGGGGAGAAAGGCGAACCAGGAAGAAAAGGAGACAGAGGCAATCAGGGATATAGAGGTAAAAGAAAGAAGGCAAGACAGAAAGAGACGACTGATTACTATCTGATGTGCTTTATATTGGCACCAAGTTCATGGCAGAGATTACTTCTGAACTGGGAATTTTCTTATTCATAGTCCAGTTTCTTAGCCACTATATTCCAGCAGTTAGCTCCAAGCCACAGTTTGCAATGATCATTACACTTGGTTTGACCTAACCATGGTTAGCAATGTTGCACTGTGCTTAGAGGAGTGAAATTGAACATGAGAAGGCAGGAGAAGGAAGAGGAAGAGGGCATGTCTGGGTCGGGGGGGGTGTTCCCCATCTTCTGAATATGATTAGTAAACTTGGCAGCTTTTGCACTAGGCAAAAACCAGAAATACTGATATCTTATGCAGTTAAGGGAAACTAAAAAAAAATTCATTTGAACCTTATTAATGCAAAAAATTATCTAGATGTGCCATCATTCATTTGTTCCTTCTGTGTTAAATCAGGAGCAACAGGTGTACAAGGGATTAAAGGTGAAAAGGGGGATTCAGGCAAGTATGGTCTTTTTCTCTATAAGTATATAAACTTTTCCCAATCCAATGTTTTGTGGAGCTTCATTGTAATTAGACATGGGTGGCGCTGTGATCTAAACCACTAAGCCTCTTGGGCTTGCCGATCAGAAGGTCACCGGTTTGAATTTCTGTGAAGGAGTGAGCTCCCATTGCTCTATCCCAGTTTCTGCCAACCTAGCAGTTCGATAGCATACCAGTGCAAGTAGATAAATAGGTACCACTGTGGCGGGAAGGTAAATGGCATTTCCGAGCGCTCTGGTTTCCGTCACAGTGTCTCGTTGCACCAGAAGCGGTTTAGTCATGCTGGCCACGTGACCCGGAAAGCTGTCTGTGGACAAACGCTGGCTCCCTTGGCCTGAAGCAAGATGAGCGCTGCACCCCATAGTCGCCTTTGACTGGACTTAATCATCCAGGGGTCCTTTGCCTTTTTACCTTTTTTATTGTACATATGGAACCCCACATGAAGTGAGGCTTCTCTGTTTCGTTTGGTGTCTGAGAAGAAGAACACTAGAGGCACAATAACTTGCTTATCAAGCTTTCTCTGTTAGTGAAGCAAATGTGGGACAGCTTCTCCTTGTGTAGGGAGTCCTATTAGGCTTGTAAGAAGGCATCGACTTCTGTTCCGACCCACATTCATTGCTGTTTCTGTCCCACTGCACTTCATATTCTGACAAAAACTACATTACTTATCTCGCTGTCTGCCATGGTGGAATTTTACATTGTTAATTCCGTTATCATTACATTATTCTGCACCATTCATTTCAATGCAAAAGAAACACAATGCAAGGTATGGAGGGGGGAGCCATCAATTACACATTATTTGTGGACTGAAAACAACAGTGAACACCCAACAAATCAACTTTGGCCATTTATGTTTCTGTTTCCATTGGAAGCCTCCACCATCCGTGATTCATTTCCATGCACACCAGTCAGTAGGGTCAAGGAAACAGTACTCTAAAGTGCAGCAATGCTACTAGTAAACACATATGTGCACATTATCATTTTTATATGTTTATCACAGGATTAGGCTTCAAGTCCCAAGTGATGTCATATGTCCTTGTGTTACACTGCGAGTTGGCAGCTACTCAGGAACAGCTTCCCTTCAAACCACCATCAGAGTTGATTTGGAAGCTTACAAATCAGGGCTGCCTGGGAGTGGGTCCCAGCAAACAAAACGGCTGGGGCAGGTTCCACAGGGGGGGATGCACTCGGACAACCGATCTCAGTGATCACGGGTAGGAGGAGGAGTTACGCTAAGACCAGACCATGTCATTACCGAGGAAGCAGGCTTAGTCGTTGTTTGAGGACTATCCCTGCCTCCAGGTCTGGTCCTGACCGGAAGGATACTGGAATCAACAAGGGAAACCCACATGACCTGAAAGTGTTGCTGTGCAATGCCAGGTCAATGATGGGTAAACCTCTGCCATCCACGACCTGATTGTGGATGGAGGATTTGACCTGGCATGTGTGACAGAGACCTGGTTGGATGAAGCAGATGGGCCCGTCCTTGCCGCTGCTTGTCCACCAGGTTTCTCTTACGCACAGCAACCCAGGCCTTGTGGGCAGGAAGGGGGGGGGGTTGCAGTGATTTTTAGGAAGTCATTAGTTTGCACCAGGCGTCCTATTGGAAAGACCCAGTTCTCTGAGTGCATGTTCTGGAAGTTGGGCAATAGGGGCAGTACAGGATTCCTACTGGTGTACCGACCGTCCCGCTGCACCAAGGATTCCCTGCCCGAGCTGCTTCAGGTCGTGGCGGATGTCCTCCTGGAGACACCTAGTTTGGTTGTCCTAGGGGACTTTAACATCCATGCCGACACGACCTTACAAGGGGCCGCTCGGGACTTCGTGGAAAGCATGGCCTCCATGGGGCTGTCCCTGAATAAGTCTGGCCCAACTCATAGCCACAGGCATGCCTTAGACCTGGTGTTCACCTCTATGGATGTTGGTGATCTGACATTAAGTAAAAGCGAAACCAAAGAAGTGCCATGGTCAGATCACTTCCTGGTGCAACTGGACTTCTCCGTGACCCTTCCCCTGCAGGGAGGCGGGACCGATTCAGATGGTCCGCCCCCGCCACTTAATGGATCCAAATGGTTTCCAGAGAGTGGTAGGGGATGTTTTATCCCATGTTGATGGCCTTTCAGCTGATTCCCTGGTGGCCCGCTGGAATGTGGAGTTAACCAGGGCTATTGACTGTTTGGCTCCAAGCGCCCTCTCCGATTGCATGGAGTCCGGACAGCCCCGTGGTTTTCCACGGATCTGAGAGCAATGAAACAATCGTTGAGACGGCTAGAGCGCCGGTGGCGGATAACCCATTCTGAATCTGACCGGACACGGGTTAGAGCTCAGTGTCGAGCCTACCAAGTGGCGATAGCGACGGCGAAGAAGACTTTCTTCACCGCCTCTATTGCATCTGCGGAAAACAGCAGCAGGAGACTCTTTCAGGTGGTTCGCAATTTAGCAGAACCACCTGCTCCATCAGGGCCCAGTAGGGGCCACATGATCTCCTGCAATGACTTTGCAAAGTATTTTGCAGATAAAGTCGCTCAGATTCGAGAAGAGGTAGACTCCACCGTGGGAGCAGGGCCAGGGAGGGAGAGTGCTAGAGTCCTGTCTAGTCAAGTTGTGTGGGATCATTTCCAATCTGTTACCCCCGAGGATGTGGACAGGCTGCTTGGACGAGTGAAACCAACCACTTGCCTCCTTGATCCTTGCCCATCCTGGCTTATAAAAGCTAGCCGGGAAGGACTGGGCGATGGGCTTCGTGGGGTGGTGAATGCTTCCCTCCGTGAGGAGCCTTCCCAGACCCGCTGAAAGAGGCGGTTATTAAACCGCTTCTTAAAAAACCATCTTTAGATGCGGCCACGATAGCCAACTATCGCCCAGTCTCAAATCTTCCATTCTTGGGCAAGGTGATTGAGCGAGTGGTTGCTGAACAACTCCAGGCACGCCTGGAAGAAGCGGACCATTTGGATCCCTTCCAGTTGGGATTCAGGCCTCATCATGGGACTGAAACTGCCTTGGTCGCACTGGTTGATGATCTCCGGCGGGCTAGGGACAAAGGTGAGAGCTGTTTCCTAGTTCTGCTGGATCTCTCAGCGGCGTTTGATACCATCGACCATAACATCCTTCTGGACCGTCTTGAGGGGCTGGGAGCTGGGGGCACTGTTATACAGTGGTTCCGCTCCTTCCTCCTGGGCCGTGTTCAGAAAGTGGTGGTGGGAGATGAGTGTTCAGACCCCTGGGCCCTCACTTGTGGGGTGCCTCAGGGTTCTGTCCTCTCCCCCATGCTTTTCAACATCTACATGAAGCCGCTGGGAGAGATCATCAGGGGATTTGGGCTGGGTGTTCATCAGTATGCAGATGATACCCAGCTCTACCTCTCTTTCAAATCAGAACCAGTGAAGGCAGTGAAGGTCCTGTGTGAGTGCCTGGAGGCGGTTGGAGGTTGGATGGCGGCTAACAGATTGAGGTTGAATCCTGACAAGACAGAAGTACTGTTTTTGGGGAACAGGAGGCGGGCAGGTGTGGAGGATTCCCTGGTCCTGAATGGGGTAACTGTGCCCCTGAAGGACCAGGTGCGCAGCCTGGGAGTCATTTTGGACTCACAGCTGTCCATGGAGGCACAGGTCAAATCTGTGTCCAGGGCAGCTGTTTACCAGCTCCATCTGGTACGCAGGCTGAGACCCTATCTGCCTGCGGACTGCCTCGCCAGAGTGGTGCATGCTCTGGTTATCTCCCGCTTGGATTACTGCAATGCGCTCTACGTGGGGCTACCTTTGAAGGTGACCCGGAAACTACAACTAATCCAGAGCGCGGCAGCTCGTCTGGTGCCGGGGAGCGGCCGCAGGGACCACATAACACCGGTCTTGAAAGACCTACATTGGCTCCCAGTACGTTTCCGAGCACAATTCAAAGTGTTGGTGCTGACCTTTAAAGCCCTAAACGGCCTTGGTCCAGTATATCTGAAGGAGCGTCTCCACCCCCATCGTTCTACCCGGACACTGAGGTCCAGCACTGAGGGCCTTCTGGCGGTTCCCTCACTGCGAAGCCAAGTTACAGGGAACCAGGCAGAGGGCCTTCTCGGTAGTGGCGCCTTCCCTGTGGAACACCCTCCCACCAGATGTCAAAGAGAACAACAACTACCAGGCTTTTAGAAGACATCTGAAGGCAGCCCTGTTTCGGGAAGCTTTTAATGTTTGATGTATTATAGTATTTTAATATTCTTTTGGAAGCCGCCCAGAGTCGCCGGCGAATCCCAGCCAGATGGGCGGGTATAAATAATAAATTATTATTATTATTATTATTATTATTATTATTATTATTATTATTACAAAGAAATAGGCTGGGCCTCATTCTTGGAATGTACAACACATATTTCAGCAACCAAAAAGGAGGGGATGTGTAGAGACCACCTCTCCCATCATTTACTCACACCCTGCCCCAAATCTCGATGTGTTGCCTCTGTCTCCTGATGTGCATAAATGTTGCCTTTCAAAAACATCCAACAGGGAGCAGTTCTGTTGTAAGACTTGTTGGAGGACATCAGCGTGGTCGAGTTGAGGTTCTGTATTCAGGAGTATGGGGTACCATATGTGACGACAGCTGGGACACTAGTGATGGAGCTGTGATTTGTCGGATGCTGGGATTTAGCCGAGTAGTTGAAACCTTCACTGCAGCTGCAGGTAATTTATCACTTCATTCCCTGGCTGATTTAATCAAGTCGCAAAATGAAAGATTCAATTGTGTGTAATATGACTGTGTTCAAAAATAGCAGGGGAGGGGAAGGTATTTCTCTTTGTCATCCAAAACATGTCACTAGAGTAGAGCTAAGCAAGCAGCCTTATGCTGCTCCCCTCTGAACATTCAGTTTGAATGCTTGAGACCCCTTTAAAGGGAGTTTTCAAGTGCTTGAAAGACTCTGCCACTCCGAGAAAAAAATAAAAAGGTTGGCCAATGTGATGGGATAGAAACTCCCTTGCAGATGGTAAATGCCTGCTGGGACTCTCATCCTTCCCAGATTGTTTGTAAAGAGAAGACTCTGTTGTCAGGATCTTTTATTACTGGGGGTCATGGGAGTTATAGTTGAAGTACAGTTCCCATGACCCCGGTTGAAAAAGAGACTGGCAGGATCTTCACTTTCCAAATAGTTGGGGAAATGATGAGAGGCTGAGTAGGGATCCCTTCACTTTGAGGAGCCATCTAGTACCTGGTACCCCATCCCAGACCCGCAAAGCAAGTTCTTTGCTCCTTGGGAGATGGGGTAGCAAGCAGTGGAGGTGTGATCAGAACCTCAACAGGCACTGCCTACTCACAGAAGGCTCTGGCAGCCTTGGCTTCTTCTCAGAAGAATGTGGAGTGTTCAACTAATAGGGGAAGGGCCATAGCTTAGTCGTAGAGTATTTGCTTTGCATGCCAAAAGTCCCAGGTCCAACCAGGAAGGTGTTTCACCACTGCAGCCCAGTGTCCAAAGTGTATTAAAGTGTACTAAAGTCTGCGGGAGGCAGTGGAAGACAGGAGTGCCTGGCGTGCTCTGGTCACAAAGAGTCGGACATGACTAAACGACTAAACAACAACAAAGTCTGCATGCTTCCTTTATGGCTAAGGAAGTTGCTTTAGAAGTTGCTGCTGTCTGAAATTGTTTGCTGGACAATAGGATGGTAGAAAAGAAAAGAAGAGTGAGATTCTCTTCCCAAGCAATTTTCATTCTGGAGTAATTAAGCAGTTGTTATGGAGCTCCAGAAGCATTTCCTAAAGCAGCCTCCCCCACCCCTACCCTCCACTTTCCTGGTACTTAGGCATAATGAGATATTAGCATGTGAGTCACACGATGGATTGTTGCTTTGTTATTTTTCACCCTTTTCCACCCTGTGCTAACTCGTTACATGTCTGCTTGATAGCAGGCTCTGGACAAATCTGGTTGGATGACGTGGGATGTACCGGAACAGAATTCTCCATTTATTCATGTAAAAAACGTGACTGGGGTGAAAACAACTGCAGTCATAATGAAGATGCTGGGGTAGAGTGTGCCTAATGGAAAACAGTTCTGCTCCGATGTCTGAGAAACAATACCTTAATACTGATGATTCCACGAAGAAGTGTGCATGGCACTGTCCTTCAGAGTGTATCTCTTGGCTAATCAGAGAATGGATTAATTTTGTTTTACTCCTTTAATTCCACTGTACCAACACATCTCTACATTCTCCTTTGCTGATCAAGGCTATTCTACTTGGGTATGTGAGGAATCAACATCAGTAACTGGGCTCACTTTATTAGAAGACCAGTAACTGAACTATTATTGCAGGGGAAGGGATGTAGCTCAGTGGTTAGAACATCTGCCTTGCATGAGGAAGGTTCCCGGTTCTATCCCTGGCATCTCCAGGTATGGCTGGGAAATATCCCTGTCTGAAACCCTGGAAAGTCACTGCCAGCCAAGCGTGGGCAATGCTGAGCTAGATTGACCTAAGGTTTAACTTAGTATAAGGGCACTCCCTGTGTTCCTAATCATGACACAGGAACTACATCCTAATCACATTAACTTGGGAGTAGGGTCTTTAGAAAGGCCTACAATCTTGACTGTTTTCATTTTTTTTTTAAAGATATTTATTAAAGTTTCAGATAAAAAAAGACACATTAAGAAAAAAAAGAATTTAAAAGTAAAAAGAAAAATACACAATACAAAATACAGAAAGAAAAAAAAAGAAAAAACAGTTTAAAACAATTCCATCTTTTCATCACTACTTTTGAATTTACTTATTTTCTGGACCTCCTCATACCTCCCTCTTTTGTATTCCAATTCAGTTTGTTTGTCCAGCATTTCCTTTCCCTCCTTTTTAATCCCAATCCTTAATCTTAATGTAATATAACATTAAGTTTTTATCTATTAATAGCCAATTTTCCATTCTTTTAACCTTTTTAATCCTAATCCTTAATCTTGATCTGTATATAACTTTAAAGCCTGTACAGCTAGAAACCACTTAATTTCAATCCATCATCACTCTAACATTCTTTAATTTTGCAATATTTCTGTAGGTAATCTTTAAATTTCTTCCAATCTTCTTCCACCGACTCTTCTCCCTGGTCACGGATTCTGCCAGTCATTTCCGCCAATTCCATATAGTCCATCAGTTTCATCTGCCATTCCTCCAGTGAGGGTAGCTCTTGTGTCTTCCAATACTTTGCGATGAGTATTCTTGCTGCTGTTGTTGCATACATAAAGAAAGTTCCAATCTTGACTGTTTTCAGTAGCCTTCTCTTGTGTAATGATTTATCATGCTCTTTTGCTGTTGATGGTTTTGGCTGCAGTCCCATTTTATTTGGGCTGGGAGAGCTGGGTGTGTTTTTATAACTGATAGGTTTGTTCATGGTTTGCATTGGGGAAGTTTGATGCTTGTATGTTGTTCCGTTTTTGTGGAAGCTGCCTTGAGATAGTTTTTCCTTGTAAAGGGCCCCCATATAATCAAGAAATGAAGGACCCGTTGAACTGAGGGATGCTGACTTCTGAGTAAAGATGCAGAGGATCCAGATAGAGGAAGGTGACTTGAAAAATATGTGCAGCTGGCTTTTGTAATTCAAACATGCCAAATCATTTTCCAGGTGTCTTCAGCTGGATATTGTCCATAAACCCATTGAAACGTACATCACGGAAACACTTCCGAAAGCAGATGAGACTTGAGGCAACACTTATAGCCTTTGTCTCCCAGAACCTTATGAAAGATAATGCCCATGTTTATTTAGTCTACCTTTCTGTGCCTTGTTCATAACTTCTTCATTTCACTATTTTCCTCTTAGAGCTCTAGCAGTGTTTGGCTGAAGTCACATGACACTGTCCATGATCCCAAGGAAGGATCTGGGTGTGGAGGAGAGAAATGAAACTGTTTCTATTGCCAAAGAGGCAAGCTTCTCCGAGAGAGAGAGAGAGAGAGAGAGAGAGAGAGAGAGAGCAGTGACCTGCTCCTACTGCTGGTGGGGGCTGCTGTAGTGAAAAAAGAAGCAAAGCTCTCCAAATCAATGTGTTGATTTATTTCTCGATGCCGTGATAAATGTTGAAATGTCAAAGCTCACAATGGCTTGCATAGCCATGATTTCCAAGGGGAGTCCCTAGATTCAATGCAGCCATCCATGTTGATTCCTTATAGATACATACCAAAAAGCACATAGCAGATGGTGTCTTCCAAATGTGCTGGACTTCAACTCCCGTCACCCCTGACCATTGACCATGCTGGTTGGAGCTAAAAGGAGTTGGTAGTCCAACAACAAATGGAAGGACACCACATTGGTCTCCCCTGCCATACGGCACAATAGGCATTATATTAGGATCAGCTGACAGTCCTGTAATAGTAAGTGTAGTGAGTACCATGTTAAACTTTGACTTGTGAGAACTGGGTTCATATTCCTGATCTGATTCACTGGTTGACCTTGGACCAGTCATTGTCTGAGACTAGCCTCCATAACAAGGGGATCATGTGCCGGACTAGAACTATCCTCCAAACTCCCAAGCTTGCAACACAGGCAAATAACCAATCCAGCAGTTCACATCATCCCTCCTCCTGTGAGTAAAAACTCTGGTGCTGCACTCCCCTGTGTTCCTGCTCCACTGTACCACTGTTTTTATGGTCATGGCATTCCTTTGGACTGTGGGCATTGGCTTTGCTGCCTGATTGGATGGCGGCAATATTGAAAAGATGGCCAATGGAGAGAGGGAGGCGGGGAAAGGGCAAATGAACTGTTGAGTGATTTCTCCAGATTTCCAGTCTGTATAATGAGAAGCCTGCTGCATCAGGCTAGAGACCCATCTAGTCCAGCATCGTGTTCTCACAGGGGTCAACTAGATGCCCGTGCCCATCTCCCCACTGGCCATTCCCAGCAGTTGGTATACAGAAGCATATTTGCTCCAGCACTGGAGGTAATACATAACCATCATGGCTAATAGCAATTGATAGCCTTATTCTCCATGAATTTTGTCAGTCTGTAGGCTGGTGAAAACATTCCTGCAAACAACATAGCCATGCATTATTTTATTCTATTTTAAGTGCTGAGTACTTTCATTTGGAGCCAGCAAGGTTTACATGATTAACTTTCCGCTGGTTTAATAATGATATTGTGTAAATTTCAGAATGTGCAGGTTTTAATTAAATACTTAGGCTTCCATTCACTGACGAATAAACCTTACATATACTTTACTAAATAATACCCCTCCTGTACCAAATGTCTAAAGGCAAACGCATAGTGCCCAACAGAAAAGGTGGATGATATAAGCAAAAGCCTATCATAGTCACTTCCTGGGAGAGCCAAAATACATGACTGATCAATTCAGAACTAAGGTCATGTCTGCGCTACACCTTTAAACCCATTTCAAATATTTTAAGCGGTCTGAGGCCCCAATCAAGGAATCTTGGGGACTGTAGTTATAAAGGATCTGTGACAAAAACTTCTCAACCATCTCACAAAATTAAAATTCCCAGGATTCTTTGGGAAAAATCATAGAAGTTAACTCAGATGTCATCTAGTTTAAATGTATAGTGCAGATGTGCCCTGTTATTCCAGTTAATTGGCGTACATCCATGAATGTGTGACACTAAGGAAAGATCCACACCCTACATTTAAAGCACGATTTCCCCAAAGAATCCTGGGAGATGTAGTTTCTTAAGGATACTGGGAAATGTAGTCTTGTAGTGGGAAAACTACAATTCCCAGGAATCTTGGGGAAGTCATGCGCTTTAAATGTGGATTGGGTGGTCTTTATTTGTAGGGTATGGATTTGCCCTAAGTTTTAGTGACTGTATAAAGATTCTTGGGTCTCATTCGCATGAGGCACCAAAATTAATAGGGTACCTCTGCAAATGGTAGAAATCTATTCATACGTAAGAAAAGAAAATGAATCCTGGTTATGAGAAATTTCAGTTATTTTTACATTCAATAGTCAAAACATTGTGCTCACCATTTCCCCCATAGAAATAGCCAGCATTGCAACAGTGCACAAGCATGTCAGACATGGAAAGGGACTGGGGAAACCCATTTTACACCCCACAGCTAGCCTTAGGCAAAGGTTGGGGGATTTAAACAGACACCTAGAAAAGTCATGCTGAAAATGGGCCAGGCCACACATGTAAAGAAAGGATTCTGGAAGTTCCTAAATGACGATGAATGATGAGAGCTGATTTCTAGTAGCAGGTCGGGACCTATATCTAGATTACAGTACAGAATAAAAGAGCAGAATATGAATGCACTGTGCTGCCATTTTTGAGTTTCGCTTAAGGATTGAATGAATGATGTGTCCCTATCTGGCAGGAGAAAATCATGATGTACCTAGCTGAGCAGTTCAGGAATTTCCAAAAGCAGCACTGCCAGCTGATGTCTCTCCTATATTTCCCCTACTTATGCCCAGGCATGCCAGTATTTGGTATTTGGCCAAACACTCAAGGGAAAAAAATATCATTGAAATTGCTATTTCAATGTTGAATATAATTGAATGCTAAGTACTATATTTTTAGACCATTGTTTTTATGCAGAATTTATTATTTCTTCTAAAGCGCATGTCATTTTAGTTGAGCTGCAAGCCTAGCAAATGCTGACCTGAAGGCATTTCTGTCTGAAGAAATACAGTGGCACAGAGTCTTGTAGTACTTTGTCCTTTGCACAAGAAATATAGAACACACATGTGCACACCATAATATCAACATGTTTGACATAGCCCGAGAGAGAAAGAGACCAGCTTTAACACAGAGTGCATATATATACAAGATCTTTTAAATCATGCAATCAGAAAAGCAAACCATGCTGAATAACCTTCCTCACTACTCTAGGGTTGCCATATTTCAAAAAGTAAAAAACAGGAAACCCCCAAAGTTGTCTAGCTTTTTTAAAACACACACACACACCCCAAAACCCCCCATAAATTTTCGATTGACTTGTCTAGGATCCACCACCTTTTGGAAACCCCCCCCCCCCGAATGTCAATTCCCCCACCCCTGGTAATGTATGGCAGCCCTATACTACTCATCCCTCACCACTCTCTGCTTTAAGACACGAGTCCTGGGAAAGCCTTCAAGCTTCAACTCAGAATCCTGGAGTCTGTCATTAAGCATCAGATGAAGCTTCCTTTATAGATACAATCAGATCTGGAAGAGAAGATACGGAGGGTCAATTAAAAAATATATTTTCACCTCTCGTGATATGTGCTGCTTCAATGGTTATCTTATGTGTACACTTAAAAGGCAATGTATGGTCCCAGGTTTGGCCGTGGTCCCAGGTTTGGAGTGCCAACGCGGCTGCAGTCAGATGAACAAAATTGACTTAAGCCAATAAGTCCATATCTTTTCCAAACTTGTCCCACCTTCTGAGCAACCCAACCTACCAGCAGCCAAGAATCTTCACCGCATCAGTGTAGCCTATTGCTGTGTGCAAAGGGATCCCTGGGAAAGCACTGGCATTCAGGAAGAACTAGAAGAAGGAGTCTCTGGATCAACAATACATTAGAACAGCTATGTGAAGCTTGTGTGCATGAACCCAGCAGCCTGGCAGGCAGGGTTGGGCCAAGGGGGTTTGCTACTTAAATGCAGAACAGTGAATGGTGTGTCCCCTTCCCCACTCCAGCTCAAGATGTTTACTACCCAGGGCTGGCCAAGTTATCACAGAAGCCTTTTCCTCTGCTCTGGCAGCGGAAATATACCATATTTTTTGCTCTATAGGACGCACCCGACCATAGGACGCACCTAGTTTTAGAGGGGGAGAACAAGAAAAAAATATTCTCTCCCTCTCTGTGGCAACGCCCCTTCAGCAAAGTGGCAGGAGAAGCGGAGCCCCTTCCATTTCTCCTCCCGCTTCGCTGAAGGGGCGCTGCACAGAGAGGGAAAGCTGCGCAGCGCCTCTCCAGCGAAGTGAAGCCAGGAGAGCAAGAGGGATCGGTGCGCACCGACCCCTCTTGGTCTCCTGGCTTCAGCAAAAGCAATGTGAAGCCTTCAGAGCGCAGCAGGAGCTTCCGCTGAGCTCCGGAGGCTTCGCGTTGCTTTCGCTGAAGCCTTGGAGCCTGCATTCGCTCCATAATTTTTCTTAATTTTTGGAGGAGAAAAAGTGCGTCCTATAGAGCGAAAAATATGGTGATCATAAATAAAGCTGGAAGTCTGACCACCCCTGCCCTAGAATATAACACTGACATTTCAGAAGAAAGCCCCACATCCATATCATTCAGGCTGTGTGGTGCCTTGCTACATATGCTGTGGATGTGAAAAGACATCCACAGACACCTCATTTGGAGATTTAACATCTAGAACAGGTAGGGAGGACCTTTGAGGCTGTTGGACTCCAGCTGTCATCATCCCTGATCATCGTCCATGCTGACTGGAGATGGTGGGAGATAGGTCTAGCAATGTCTGGAGAGTCTTGGGTTCCAAATATATCTGTTCTGGCGACCCTGGCAAAGGAGCTGATCCCTGCTCTAGCAGCTCACACAAACACAATTTTAACAAGGCGTCCCTGAAATGACAAAAAAGATGGGGAAAGGACAGCAACTTACCTAGAGATCAATACTAGAAAACAGGGACTACCCCTTCTAAACATTCTGCAGAACAGCAGAAGGATATGTACCCCTCCACCGTTTGCTGGAAAAAATCACCTTAACATATTTCTTAATGTGGATAAACTTTGTTTGCTGTGTCAGGCATTGGTCCAAAGCCTAGGGCATCAATGTCTAGTCCATTCATCAATTAGATTAATTAATTGAGCACGAACCAAACATTTAAAAAATGGCTTTAAAATAGTGCCCTCTCTCTTTTGTGAGCAGCAGTTGCTATTGCTGTTGCTTTTTGATTTTATTTAAAAAAAGCTTAATTGTTTTTAAAACATGCACTTCCTTAGAAGCACCATTTCTCCTCCTTTGCCACATTGGAGACACATTGGCTGTTGTGACATACACATCATCCAAAAACAAGATAAATGTCCTTTGTTTTTTCCTTCCACAGGTCTGTTTTAGCCACATGTTTTAGCCGCATATAGACTTAATTGATTTATCAGCTGAAACCCTTACAGTGAATCAACTTTTTTCTTATTGTGTGACGAAAGACAACACAATCCACAATAGAAACAGACAACTTTGTTGCTTCTAGGTGTTTTGTCTCCTTTCGGATCTTTTGACAAATTGCTCCTTCCCAGCGCTAGGTGGAGCTCAAGGTCCTCATCCCCATTTAGAATAAAGATGTAGTCCAGTGTCACGAGAGAAATATAGCAAGGAGTCACTGACAAAAGTAATCAGTGAGTCTAGGACATTGCATTGAAATAGAAACCGTCTTACTCCAGGTGTGTGCCTAGGCAGATAGGCTACTTGATAATTTCCAGTCATTTTAGCAATGTTTAGATTTCATTGCTTCAAATCTTCAAAAAAAAAGATCGCTCATTTTTTTTTAAAAAAAAGAGAAAAATCTTGCCTCTTTTCACCTTCAGAATTTGCATGGCTGTGCCTGACAACTATCCATTAGAAGCAAATTGGCTACGCATTTGAGAAGGATCTGATGGCTGCTCCCTCCCTCTTTAACTCTGTATCTAGCAACGGGTGAATCCATCAATTCAAATTTCTCCCAGTTTCTCCTTTATCCAGTCATAGGTGCTGTTCACCATATTTACACACCACTTTGCAATTTCATGCAACTTTTTCTTAATGTGCACATTTTGGTATGCACGTCTGCATAATATGCACATTCTTGCAAAATGATCACCCCGATATAATGTATTTCATATGTTATTTTCACCAGTAAGTGCATTTCTGTGCATACCTTACCCTAGTACGTACATTATAATTTTTTACACATTCCTTGTCTGGAGTACTGCATGGCAGAATTCAGAGAGGTGCAACTTTCAAAGGATGACTGTGTTTTAATTTGCTTTTTATATATTTATTTAATTTATTTATTTATATACCACCCTATGCCCAAAGGTCTCAGGACAGAACAGAACAATGTCAGAATATAAAACCACAAAATATATAATCAAAATAAAAACAACCCAATAACCCCCCCCCAAAAAAACCCCACACATACCTATTTTAAAAAGGCATAGGATGTCAGTCAAAGCAAAGCAACCAAAGGCCTGGTTA